TAAGGTTGAAACTTTATTACTAAGCAAAAATCTCACATACGAAAATTTCGTTTCAGTGGCACTTTAAGCATGTTCAACTTTGCCTATCCATGAATTAAAAAACCTCTTAGACAATAACTCGGATTGCGTAAATTAACTTTTACTGACAGGGATAGTCCATGTTCTTTCTACAGGAAGAAATGGTATCTACTTTTACTTATCTATCCTCCTCCTGAAGTTATAAGAAATTAAATAAGAAAACTAGATACAATTATAATTCATTTCATCTAAGTCAATAATTTGTACTAGTGACTATACGAGAACTTTTTAAGTAACTGGGATCAATTTCTAAATTATTCTGGATCATATAAAAGAAATTGGTATGGTAGCTGGACGTTTCGCACCTAAGCGAGTTCGCGCTCCACATCAACTAGCGATCAGGTGCTTGAAATTTATCTTTCTCTTACCTAGCACAAAAAACAACACATTGTTTGCATAATGAAACATAATCACACAAAACATGTTTATTTCTCGTTCTTTAATCCACTGAAGGTGAAGGCGAGCTCGAAATAGGAAGTTTATAATGAGTTCAGGGGTGCGAACCGCTCGGTGGACGCAAACTCGATTGGGTGCGAAACAGGTAACATCCATTGATATTAACTTGGCCTTGATTTTAAAGTCAAATATCCAATCAAATCCAAATCAGATCAAAACGCAGCTTCACTTCTACAGTTAGCCCTGTCGTCTGCACTAATTTGGAGAAATTGTCCACTGAAAACAGAACTTTTCTAGCTCTTCAAACGAGACGAATTGAAAACGCAGGCATTCTGAAAACGGAGCTTTTCGAAAACGATGATCTCACGTTGATCTTCCTCAAGGGTTCACTCAAGCATTTCTTTGGTCCAGTCCCTGAATCCTTCCTTTTCCGCGCGCTATTTACGGTTTGAACCTAGGCACGAGAAGAGAGTCCAGAGTAGCTTGCATGCGCATGCTGAGAATGGCGGAATTGCCCACCCCCGCCCAAACCAGGGGAAAAACCATATATCGCAGAACATGTGGAAGCGCGCGCATGCCCAGTGGCCGTCTATTTAATTACAAGCAGCAACACAGGACAACCTTCAAAAATGTAGCCTTTGTCTGCTAACTGACTAACGACCAAAACAGATATTAATCGTTAGCTGTTATCCAGTGCATAGCGCGCAGTTCACGACAAAAAACTAGTCATCTGTATCACGTGCAAATTATGCCGTCTCCAGTAAGCAATTGGCAATACATATTATTTTATTTGTCATTGGTTTGTCCTGCGTGGTTAGGTGAAATTCTTAAGAGTGTCTCGGACCATTCCGGTTTCCCGATCTTAATACGTGTTCGTTAAAAGTAGATTTGGACGCAATATGCGACAATGTTTCTTGCATTTAAGTCGTACGCTTGGTCGCGTGGTGGAACATGTTGAACTGGTCATTTGAACAAGAAATTTATAAGCTAACACGTCCTTCAACACAACACTCTGATTGCATTGGTTCGTACCAGAAGCAAATCACCTAGAAGAGGTGATATGCTTCTGTTCGTACTGAACATGCACCTGCAAAATATCCTGGACTTTCTTTCTTTTGGCACCTGGGTTAAACTCTCATATAGCACGTGGGAAAGCGGAAATTCAGGGACTGGCAGGGGCGTAAGCCATTAAGCACGGGCTTAACAAGGAAGGCCATATTTTCTTTTTTCTTACTATTCAATAGCGAATCACCACGATATAAACGTTTTATTTTGAAAAACAAAATAATGACTTTCAATCTCATACATGAAAAAATGCCGAAAGGTTATTAACAAAGCAGAACTTTGTTGATTTTTTTTGGACGTTGGCAAAATTCGATATACGACTTACGCTGTACAATTTGGGCTTAAATGGAAAAAATGGCTGGCTACGCCCCTGACTGGACTAGCGTTTTTGCTACCGGCGATTGTTGCATTTTTAAATATCTCCGGCGTGGTGTGGATAGAAAACATATGTGTGTTTTCAAAGTGAAAAACGCCGTTTTCAAATGTCTCCGAGGTATTGTGGACAGGGCCTTGATTAATGACTCAAGTTACTCCCACCAAAATACATGTTAAATTCTGGTTTCACACCAAAAATGTGTACCTTATCTCTTCTTTCCTTACTCAAATCTGCAGATTTCTTATTTCAGTCTCAGTTCTCTTTGATTCTCGATCTCAGTGCATCTTTTTCAATATCTCGGAAGTTTCGATATAATACAGTCCACTGTTCCCTGTTACGTCGTAACTGATCATTTATCTGTTTGTTTTCTTCGTTTAACAAAGCCTCATCTGCAAGAAGCCGGTCAACAGGACAATACTCTGCACATGCACCCAAGAATGTGCCACTTCCTCCCTGTTCCGAAGATTGGGTGAATCCCGCTAATGAGTTAAACATCATTGTACAATTTTGGCAAGGTTGTTTTTCTTTCAACTGATGGTTTTTGGCAAATGCCGAAGCGGAAGATGACCATTCCTGATTATCTTCAGTATCAAGAGGCTGGTTAGATGCTTTTGCTCTCTTGAGGCTCTGCTTAAATTTAGCGATCCTTCTGTATAAACACAAAGGCCTTAAGAACTCACTTACAGCTACAGATGATCCAACAGACC